CTCTGGAAAGGATTTAAAGCTGGAGTTAAGGGAATGTTTGGCTTTGTTAATTCTGTTACTGGGCTAAACGAGTCTATTCCAGAAATTGAAGAAAACGCAGAAGCTTTGTCGTTCCACCCCGAGGACAAAATGTGGCTTCAAGTACGTACATAATAGTCCCTTTCACAGTTCCGTGCGCCATCTTGAAAGGTAGCCGTGCCTTTGCATCGTAGCGAGACGAACGGTGAGCTTGCAGTGATAGAGGCATGTGAATAATTGTCCAAGGTGTTAAAAAAAGGTCTCTATCATTGCAAGCTCACCGTTCGTCTCGCTTCGATGCAAAGGCACGGCTACCTTTCAAGATGGCGCAGAGAACTGTGAAGGGGACTATTACTCTGCTTTAATATATATCTCTAACAAAGGCAATAGGCATGCATCTATTCTGCGTTTAACAGTTTTTACACGTAACTAGTCCTTCGTCGGAGTAAATAAAACAGGGTCTAAATAATGGCCAAAGGGAAACAGTATGATAAAAAAGTGTCTCCATGCACACAAAAAAGGGTACCAATCAAAAGCGAAGCATTTATTCATCCCATATGGATTAGGGAACTAAAAATCCCAAATTGATGCCGGATGAACGCTTTAGATTAATGCCTTTAGTTCTCTCTCTGTTTTCTTATGATTTTTTTACTCCGTGCATTATCAAGTATAAATTCTACTTTTCTTCTAATAGTTTTCAATTATAAACGGTACAATTATAAACTTTTTTTATACGGCGTTTAAGTTTCCTTCTTATTCATTTGTTGTATTTATGATCAACACACCAACGAGTTAGCCCTAGTCATTATTACCTTGTCTTAGGCCCCGTACATCTGTTGCTTTTTCGTTTGAAAAAGCATTATCTTTGGCGTTTTGGCCTTGCGTCCACACTAAAATGCTCGAAAACGCTGAGCATTTTTTTCAAAAATGCAAACTTTCCATTTACACCTAATTGCAAGAACGTTGTCATACAAAAATTGAGCATTTGTAGTTTAGTGGGAAAGGAACTAATTAAAAGACAAACTGAAAAAGTCACTGAAGCTGAACTCCTTCTTTTGTCTTTTAATTAATTCGTTCCCCACTAAAGTACAAATGTTCTATTTTCGTATGACAACCTTCTTGTAATTAGGTATATCTAGAAATGTCAGATAATAGTTTTGATGGAATTTACAG